TAAAAACTGGGAATGCGCCAATTCCTACCATGAAAATCCGCCAAATAGAATATTAAACCGGTTTTTTAAACTCAACTCTGTAGAAAATAAGATGCAACTTGAATCCGAAAGCTCAAGCCGTAAATAAGGCCCAACGACAGCTTAGACCCGAGCCGTATTTTTCCAAGTTTTTTAAATCGCGGGCTCTGGTAAATAAACTTTCTCGATAAAAGTCAGATCACTCATTTCAGAATTGTTGAACCAACATAAGAACATCTCCGTGGTTCTGCTGAATTCCCCAGTAAAAATTTGAGGCAAATGAGTCCAGAGGTTCAAAAATTATGCTCGGACATCCAAACAGAAAAAAAACAGAGATTACTACTTAATATTTACAGATAATTAATGAAAGAAAGTCCCCCGCCCAAACCCAAAGGCTGCGGGAAGAATGATTCCAAAGTTTACTCTCTGGGTAAAATCATACTCTAAATTTGTGTAATTACAGTAATGAGTGTTTTTAACCTTTCAACAGTGGGACTCAAAAAACTTTGGAATCGGAAACGACATCTGAAAAAACTGAGGTATATTTGATGTTGTTTAAAACGCAAATCGTTTTACCAAGCTTACAAGTCTATGTACACTAATGCCGAATTTCTTGTTTATTAGACGATTTTATAATAACGATTGCATATGTTTAATAAGATTAAATTGAAATAATTTCTTACCTACTGTTGGACCAGAGGTTTAGGTTTCTTCCAGATTTAACAACTGCTTGGGCAGCTCGACATATTACAGACATTTTCTCTGAAAATCTTATAATTTCCGAATAAATTTTAACTTTAATAAGAGATCAGTATTTTCAAAGTTACCTTGCACAGTTAGGATTAAAGCTTCTTAGAAAATGTGAACTGCAATTTGCATTGCAAAAATTAGGCTTGTGCTTCAAACTTTTAATGCTCCCTGAAGTTGGACTTTTTTATGGAGTTTCATTAATCGTTTACGCTTGATCTCAATATCCATTGGGGGCTCTTTTAAATTTAAGGAAAAATGCTCGATTCCTCAATTTCAACTATTTCTGCAGGGTAAGAACGCCACGGGATATCGAAGAGGAATTAAATTAATCCGCAGGTCTGAATGGATGGGGATCAATACTTGTATCTCCTGATTCAAAAGTCATAACTTATAAATAAATATGATTATAGAGGAATGGCTTGATTATTTTACAAGCTAAATACAGCACTGTCTTACAAACAAAATTATAACTTTTACTTGAAAGTCCAACGTTAGACCAGGCTCACCAGACTGAGTATATGATCAGAAAAGTAAAAAAAATACATAAGGGATGAGCAATCTAATATTTGCACCATGGGTAAGCTGAGGCGGGTAATTGGTATAGGTATATTCCTAGAGAACGATTTTTGGACCCCCCCCC